ACTCAGGGACCACGCTGCCTCTCAGGGGCCGAATTGTGTCCTCTGCACACATGTTGAGATCCGGACCCCCACAACCCGCGGACATGACCTTATCTGTGAAGAGGGTCTTTGCAGATGATCAAGTAAGATGAGGTCACGAGGGTGGGCTCTAATCCTATGACTTTGTCCTAATAAAAAGGAGATACGTCACAGGTGACGATAAAGGCAGAGATCGGGGTGACGTATCTACAATCCAGGAATGCCAAGGACAGCCAGCAACCACCGGGAGGTAGCAGAGAGACGTGCAAGTCTTCCTCACACTCTGAGAAGAACACAGCCCTGCTGATGCCTTGATCTTGGACATCCAGCCTTCAGATCTGTGAGACAGCAAATACCTGCTGTCGTCAGTGCCCAGTTCGTGGTCCTCTGTTACAGCAGCCCTGGGGCTCGGGCACCCTCCCCCATCGCCTTGACAACGAAGGTCAGACCCTGAGTTTGCACACTGTGCCCCCCAGGTCACATGTGGGGAGCTCTCCGGCCCCAACATGCTGCTCAGACCAAACCACCTGCCCCTGTCGGGCTGGACCATTCCTTTGGACACTCTTCTAATTCCTGCTTACCTGCGGGACCCAGCTCACACGGCATCCCCTGGACAGCTTTCCCCGCCCCCAGTCCTGGCTGAATGCGGGTCTGCTGTGTCCCCAACACCTGCTGTGCAGGCATCTACCAGCGCACTTGTCACACTCATTGTGATAACTGACGACGTTATCTGTCTCGCCCTTCAGACCAGAGCTGCTTGGGAGCAGCCACCGTGAGTCTCCAGTGCCCACAGTGAGCCGCCAGTTCACAAGCTCCACCTCCTTCAATCTGTGCCTTAAGATGTTTTTTAAAATTTAAACCCAGGACAAGTAACTAATTGCCTAGTCCCTAGCCTTTAGTTTCATGTCAGTGAAGGAGGTATACACTCTCCTACGAAGCTCAGACAAGGCAAATGAAAATCAGGGTGAAACACTCTCATCTTTAGGTTACTATTAATTCTCCTGTTAAATAAGAAGTATCTGTATTTATTCTACTTTCTTCCCCCAGCAGAAAAAGGAGGCTTACTGATTTTTATGATGCGTCCCATAAAATGAGTTTTGTGGGGCACTTGTCCTTGTGGACGGAGGCAGCGCGCCCTGCGCGGGCGTTTCCTGATGCCGCGTCACTGCTTTGGCACCACGGGAAGCAGCCAGGGAATGGCTGGATGGGTTGACTTTCCCAGTGATTCAGACTATTCAGACAGAAAATCTCAGAATACGACAGGTCTCTTCCCAGTGACAGAACACCCCTCCCCTGCCCCGCCCTTTCCACCCTCCACCTCCAATTCCCACATTTGCAATCTTCCGGCCGGCACTCAGTATCGGCTAGGTTTCTACAAAAGATGGAGCCAAGCAGGATTTACAAAAGTCACCTGTATTCCAGCCAAAATATCTTTAAAAAGAAATCCCTTCTGAAGGGGAGACAAACCACGTAAGACACGGTACACTTAAAATATGTATTGAAATTACAAATCAAACTTTTCCATAGGGTTCCAAAGTACAAAACACAACATTGAAAGGCATTCAGACAGCTCTTTTATACATCACAGTGTTAGTGGCACAAAATGTACTGACATTTCAAAAACACAAACAAATTTGTTGTTTTTGTTTTACCACCACTTGTCAAATACATAATGTATACGTGTGCATGACTCATTCATGCATATTTTTATACAAGATTAAAATACACCCATAGTAAAGTGAGCAACAGACAAAAGAAAGGTCAGGCACGTGGCACGTAGCTACCCCTAACTGAAGGCTCCCGGATTGTGGAAGACAGGATTACACAGATCAGAGGGAGGGTGGAGAGCATGGGGCCGTGCACACCACAACAGCATGCCCTCCTAGCTGTGATGCACTAGGAATTTTATCTAACGCAGGCCCCTTCGTTCCATTGGGAGTTTTTGGCAATACCAGTCATAATCTACTTATTTTCCTAAGGGCTAGGGTTAATTTTAAGGAATAAACAAGCTTTGGTATTTTTGAAGAGAACTTCAGGAAGCTTCATACATGCAAAATGTATTCCCTTGATGATTTCATTGTGTATACACACACACACACACACACACACACACAGGTGTATTTATTAATAAATGAGAATCTGAGAAATATACAAAAAGCTCACCCTGGTTTCTTCCCATTCCCTAATTTTTTATGACAACCAAGGGAAAATTTTCTCTTCTAATTTTTTAAATATCTCCTAACTTTCGAAATATAAGCGAAAACAATAAACTCATCTAGAAGTAATTTTGCATCTCTGATAATCTCTCTCCCGCTGGCCCTGTGATCTGATCAGGAATTGGCCAGAGTTCTAATGGGCTCGATGGGACAACACGCTGGAAAGACAATTTGTTCCTCCTTCCGCAGCTACTCCTGGGAGCCGAGGAGGAAGAACTGGCTTAGATAGTAATTAATTCACGCGACCAAGGTTTTGCTTATGCTCAGATCCTAAGTCGGTCTCTGCCACGTGAACATCTCTGGCGATTCTGTGTCTACGAGGCCTCGGCCTGGCGCGAGGCGGCGAAGCTGGCAGGCTACGGGGTGCACGGGCCAGCCTGGGAGGTCAGGCACGTCCAGCAAAACTTCCTGACGTGGGCAGTTACCAAAGGGCCGCAGGTAACAGGTCCACCGTGTCCTCAGTGGCCGCCCTCCCCGCCCAAAACAGCAGTCCAGCAGCCGTGGCCTCCCCTCCTCCCCAGGATTTAAAGGCCTCTAAATGAGCAGGCGTCATGCGTTTCCAGGGCATCAGAGTGAAAACCACCTGTAAAAGTGAATGTCATTTTCCAATTAAGACGAATCATGTTGAGGAAGAGGAAATGAGTCCATCGCTAACGGCAGAACTCCCCAGTTTTACTGGGGAGTGACGGCAAGACCCGAGTTCAAATCGAGCCCCCCCGCCCCGCCCTGGGTTCTATTTACATTTTACATCAAGCAAGGTGAACATCGCATCACCACAGACAGGGGTGTGGCATTCTTTACTAAGAGAGAAGGAGTCTGATAGAACGGAATGCAGGTGTGTGTACCTCAGTGTGGTCGTGCTGGTGTGTCTCTAGGACATGGACAGTTTTTATTTCATTACTGATCAAACTGAGGTGTGCTTGATACAAAAACTCAGAGCAGAGACGTGCGCATTGGACTGGCCCTGGCTGGCCCCAGAACCCCCGTGGTCTCCACCTGGGTCAAACCACGTGCTTGTGAAATTCATCGCAGGTGAAGGCAGAGGAGGGTTGGAGCTACAGATGCATGTGATAGGGTTGGAGACTCCTCCAAGGTAGGAGGACAGCCCGTCCCTCTAGGAATAGGGGATCTCAGCTCTAGCCCTGGGGGTGCAACCTTTCCAAAGGCTCTGGCTCCCACCCAAAAACAGGGGCACCACCGTACGGACTCGTGCAAAGGGCAAGCGCCAGCACAGGCAGGAAGGACTAGGATGCAGGGAGGCCTACTTTGTGGACAGAGCCCCTGGAAGGAGGGCCACGGGCCTGCCGTCTGCGCTGGGCATTTTAAAGGGCACTGGCTAGACAGCTATACCCACAAATCACAGGCTGAGGGCTCAAGCCCAGCCACTGACTCATGGAGTTGTCACCCGTCTCCAGAAAAGCCATTCTACCACCAGACGCCATCGCAGCACCTCAGAACTGCAGACACTCGCAGCCCGAGCTCCGTCCAGAAAGACGGTCTCCGGCAGGTTCTTATTTAGTTACTGAACTCGTAAACTGCAATTACAAGGAGAACTTTTTGAACACAGTTTTGACACAGACCGATTTTCTAAATGGCTTCGGCGTCATAAAGAAAATCAATACTAGAGGTGAAGAGTGAAGTGACGCTGTTTCTTCTAACCTAGTCCATGTTAAGAAATAAAGAATAAATTTCCACACAGGGAAGGTAAACTAGGACCTGAGCCTGACACACGAATGTGAAGTCAAACACACGCAAAACAACCACATTTTTAAAATGTGCTTTGATGAGCAAATAACTAAGATAAAAGGACTTTGTTTTTGTTTCGCTTCCTTGTAGAACACTTAGTAAGTTTTTAAAAATTCCACTGTAATAAATCTACAATATTTGCCTTTCTGCTATTTTCAGAAGTTCTAAGTTCAATGCGGTTTATTCTTTAGGAGCACCTGTGGCTTTGAAAGTCAATTCTCTTTAAAGAATCCACTTTCGCTTCCTCCACTTTCCAGAGTCAACTGATGGAGTGATGCATCTTCTTACTGATCTGTGCCTTTGGCTGCCGTGGAAACAGTCACACACAGCCCTGTAGAAGACCAAGTGGTGAATCCCACATCAAAATAACTAAGTGAAATAAATGAAAACGATTTTCTCAGCAAGGGCAAAATGGTTAACAACAGGACTTGGAACTCTGTAAGACATATGATTATTCAGAAGGACTAAAGCATTTACAAAATGTAAAAATCCAGGAAGCTCCTCCCCAGCCCCTGGGAGCCCTCCAGCCTCTGCCAGGAGGCTCTGACGAGAGGATCGACAGCCCTGCTTTCTTCTCGCTGTCTGCTTGAAGACTGGGGCAAGGGCCAGACTATAGTCATTCCAAGGAGAGCTATACTCCAAATAAAGCAGTCAGTTTGAAGACAATAAAAGGTATTTGCTGCCACCTGGGTGAGAAGGGATGAGCCCTGTGAGCAGAGTTGAATCACCAAAGAGAGAAAAAAACAAAAAGCAAATCTAATGGAGATGTTCCTTTAAATATGTCAATATTTTCCAGGAAATGCAATGATATAGGAACCACATTTATAACAGTACATAGCTTACGGCATTCAAAAAGTTATTACAGCAAGTTTCAAGAAAAACACAAAGAGTGCATAAGGCTTTCTAAATCTCCTGAAAGTCGTTTAACTATAACTTCTTAAAATGCACATTTCAAGAAAGGCATAGGATGGTTTATATGCACCTTGTTGATTTTCACTCCTCAGTTGGAAAAAAAAAATGCCTTCTAAAAAGGATTTTACTAAATGCCATTAGTAATAAAAACAGTTGTCATAAACAGAGTGCTTTGCTCAAGGTGGAATAATCAGATTCTGTCTGAAGAGGGTTGCAGTCCTCAAAAGACTTCTCTCAACAGCATGGCACCTTCTCGAAGCCAAGGAAGAGACGAACGACGTTTCGTATGAGAAAGTCTCTTAAGCCACCAGCAGCCATTCCTAGTCTATGGCCACAGAGAGAAAACTGCCTGGTGTGCTTCTGACAGTACCTCCCTGTCGTCTGCAGAGACTGATCTGTGGGGACGTGCCCTGCCCACGCCTGCCTCGCCTTCCCTGCGCCTAGGGACCACCCTGGGGCCTCGGCAAATGTGACGTCAGTCCCTGAAATCACGGCATCCAGCCTGACACTGTGAAGCTCAATGGGGCACATAAGGCAAGAAAAATGTTTAGTGAGGGGGGACGGGAGGGCGGGGTCGGGGACGGCCACACTTCCCGGAGGCAGGGATCTTGTTCCAGCATTGTGTCTTCCTCTAGGTGGGTAATGGGTCGTCGTCACCTTTACTGCACTTGCACTTGCAGCAAAGCACAAAGGGAGTTGCCAGGAGCAGGAAAGGCGAGGCCACCAAGAGCAAGAGCCCAAATCCAGCAAAAATGCCCACGACCTGGAGGAAGGAAACGAAGGAGTAGAAGTAAGGAGGGCTGGTCTGTAGGTTCCATAGCTTAAGTGTGGTTTACCTACCCATCTGTAATCTACCCATCTAACCATCATCTACCCACCCATCCATCCAACCATCATCCACCCACCCGTCCATCTAATGATCATCCATCCATCCATCAATCCACCCTCTCATCTACCTATCCATCCACTCACCCAACCACCTATCCAACCATCATCCACCAATCCATCCATCCATCCAACCATCATCCACCTATCCATCCATCTAACCATCATCTACCCATCCATCCATCTAATGACCATCCATGCATCTACCCACTCATCTACCTATCCATCCACTCACCCATCCACCTATCTAACCATCATCCACCAATCCATCCATCCATCTAACCATCATCTACCCACCCATCCACCCACCTACCCATTCATCCAACCATCATCCCTCCACCAACCCAACCACTCACCCACCCATCCATCAATTCATATTTTATTCCCTTTATTTTTCCCCTCTCCCTCTCTCCCCTCCCCTCCCTTCCCCCCTTTCCTTTCTCTTCCCCTACCCATTTCCACTTATGCACCCAAACATTGATATATCTATATATCCAATTAACTAACAGTTTCTTCTGAGCAACCGGCTGGAGCCAGACAGTGTACTAGATTTTGCAAATACAGAGGTGTATATCTGGTGGAAAAAAAAAATCAAGATTTAATCGTCTGATAACAATACACTTTACAAAAACTGCCACCAGGTTCCAGGTGCAAAGGGAGGACTCCTACGCTGGCCAGGGGGAAGGAGGGTTTCTGGGGGCAGACGGCTGAGACTGTAATGACGGGGCAGTAGTTAGTGCACAAGAAAGCATGGTATCCGGCTATGCAGACAAAGGGACGGGAAAGACACAGGCACGGGACAGCAGGGAATGCTTCACCCTCGTCCCTCCTGAAGTTTAATGTCCAGCAATGACTGTTATGTATTTTGATTTTTGTTTTAAAACAAGTTTATCCCTAGGTACGAGTAAATGCCCGAAGAAATAAGCCTCAAAGGTAGACACGCTGTCATCTGAATCAGGCAGTGTGGCCGGTCAAGGGAGCATGAGGTTTGTGTTTTGACTGGCCTCAGCCGCGTCCCTCCCCAGCGCCATGGAACTGAAATCTGAGGATGGAGCTAGACCGCCACCTGGTGTGCAGAGGGATAAGTACACGCGTGCACTCAGCACATGGCTCTGATTCTAAGTCTGAGCTTCTCCCTGCGTCTGTTTTCCCAACTATAAAATAAACAACTGGGGTAGAAGATCTCTAAGGGCCATTATCAGCTCTAAAATACGATGCTATACTAAAGCGTCCCAGATGTGTGAAAGAAAGCACATCTTGACTTAGATTTCTCCTGAAAACCAACGCAAACATACACCACATGCGCGCACACATATGCATTCATAAATAAGATTGCATATAATAAATTACACCACGTTGCATCTGTAATTTAGGTTGTGCTGCTGCTGAGAATCCACGTTTGTGGCGCAGCTGGCCAAGTTCATTTGTCTGAACATGATATCCACGGTGGGATTACCACGTGTGAACCCAGATCACGCTTTGTTAAAATCAGGTGCAGGCTGGGATTTCAAAACACATAAAACACACAGGCCGTCCTTATCTGGAGGGCACTCGAGCGGTCCCAACCACCGGGAACACAACTATCAGTCTCGAAGGGCCCAGAGAGGCTCTGGGGTCAAAACCATGACGGGATCCTTGAGCAAACACTCGCATGCTTGGCTGGAGAGACAGCACCTGAGCTCCTCACGTGGCACACCCTGGCTCTACCTTAGCAACCTTTGCATGCCATTTGATCAGCTGGGTTCCCCAATCTACGGCGAATCGGTGACAGGCCGATGCGGATGTTGCCAGAAGGCAGCCAGCAGCAAAGAATGAGACGGGAAGCAAATGTCACACAACAGAAATAATCACTCTGTGAGCGTGCTAGGGATGTGTGTCAGGCCTTGATTCCATGGTGCAGGGGACAGAGAGACGGGTCATCAGAGAAGCCCTGCACAACACAGCGTCCTTCTTGCTGGCAAACCCCGAGAGTCAGAGGAACAGTGAACCCTCACCTGAGCGCCCTTTATCCGAGATGCACCCGGGCAGAGAAAGCTTCCCTTCACCACTCGGAAGAGAAGGAAGCACTGGCGGAGACTGGGCTCTCTCTAAGATGGGGCTCACAGACCTACCTCGCGGCCCTCGTGAGAAACGCCCTGACGGGGTCGTGGACCGAAGCCCTTCAAGCCTCCCCCACGAGCAACCAGGGAGCCTTGGCAGGCAAGACCCTCTTCCAGCCAACCCCCTCAGTGGCTTCCCATGCCATCCCAACAAGATCCAAATGTCTTTCCGTGGCCTGCAAAGCCCCACGGGATCTGTCCCCGACATCGTCTCTGGCCACCCCCACACTCCTGGTTCTACTCTGTCCACAGAGGCTGGACCTTCATCCAGGGTTCAGCACCCCCTGTCCCCGTCCCTCTGCCCAGCCCCGCACAGTCACACGGCCAGCTCCGCGTCCCTCGGTGGTCAGCGAGGGGCCTCCCCGGCCTCTCGGTCTCACAGAGCCCTCCCCTTCACGGCCCCTCTGCAGCGGATTTGCACTCTGCACGTGCCGCGGTCCCCGCAGAGAACGCGGGCTCCGCGAGAGAAGGATGCATCTGCCTCATGCACCCGTGTCTCCAGCCCCTAGAATAGCACCCGGCACACAGTAGGTGACAAATCTGTGTTGAAAGTACAAATACACATGAACTCACACGAGGGGCCTTCACAAACTGCAAAGGCTGCACAGACAGTACTGCAGGGGGGTTTTCCCTCTGTCTTCCACTGTCCTGCGACCACCCTGCTCACCCAGGGCCGCGAGAGAAAGCTCCTCGTTAGGGCTAAGCCAGGATTAGCTCAGCAGTCAGGGGATCCCCACCAAGGTCATGAGTGGTGCGTGAGTGATCTAACGTCTGAGGTTGCAGATTCGTCACGTGCTGAATGTGACCCATATTTACTCTGACTCCGGGCAGGGCCGCCGTCAGCACAAGCTTAGACCAGGAAAAACCTGCAGGAACCACCTCTGCCAGCTGTCTTTCCAGATAAGCAGCAGTTCTCCGACCAACGGGCCCATCTTCTGGATATCTCTGTCTTCCTCTCCCTGTCTCCCTCTCTTCTCTCTACCTCCTCCCAGAGACCAAAGTTCCAGGTGAGACCCCTCCTACCTGTGTCCGATGCCAGATCACGGACGCCCGGGAGTGGCCCAGCTTGTTCCGGCAGGGTCCCTTGTCATAGTGTATCAGGAGGAAATCGTCCTGCAAGGTGCAGAGAAAGGGCGGGTGAATGAGGGATTCCTACTCGGTTCAGTGACTATTCCGGCCTGTGCTCACAGCACGTGGAGACACTAGAGAGGCGACAGCAGAGGGAGAGCCTGCAACAACGAATACACGCCCTGCTCCTCCCCTGGGGCCTCCCCCACGCCCACAGCGCAGCCTCGGGCGCTAGAGGGAGCCCTGGACCAGGTTTCGGCACAGTGGCCGTATCTTGCGTGTGGACAGAACAGATCTAGTGCTGACGCAGGGCCGACAAGCAGGCCAGATCGCTGCGCCCAGGGGCTCCTCTGGGGCCTGGCTGTGTAGGCTCCACTGGGGTCCTGCGTCCGCACCTTCACGCCAGCAGGACTGGATCTGTCCTGCGATGAGGTGCTTCCATGTACCTCTGACCTGACCTAGGGGAGTGCCAGGCTCTCACCTGGAGAGCGCTTCCTCTCCGTGCAGACCACTGTGACTTTCCTCTTCACTCAAGAGCAGCTGGGGACCATCTTCTACCCGCTATTTCTCTGACTGCAGAGTGAGCAACCCCTCCTCTCTGGGCACTTGGGGACATTTCACGCACCCCACCTGGACCTCCCACCCCTTCGCAGGACAATCCACACGGGTTTCCAGGGCCGGGAACCTCACACGGTCCCTCCCTTTCACTGTGCTCCCCAGCTCAGCGCCTGGCACGGAGGCTCAGTGACCACCCACTGGGGACCCCCTGCTCCTTCATGAACAGGGGCCGCTTCCTACCATACGGCAATAAAGGGAACAGGTAGGTCAGCGGGACAAAGGAGGGCAATGGCTCTTTCTCCATGTAACTGAGGCTGCGAACAGATTGCCTCTTTTTGAGAAAACGGTAAATAAACACAGGGCCCCTGTGTCCCAGAGAACAGGAAGTCACGCTTCTGAAAACCAGAGAGAGCTGGACCAGAGTCACTGTCTTCTGGCCCTTTAAGTCAATTGTGCCGGCGCAGTCTGGGTGGCTGGAGCCGCCAGCCTGCCTCTCACCCCCAGAGCGGCCCCAGCCCCGAGCGTGCTGGGTTTAGGGGTCCCACGTCCCATGCTGGACGCACACTGGTGCACCATTAAATCTCAGCTTTAGCGGTGGTAGCAAGAGGCCTGGGCTGGGGCTGGCAGTCCCAGCAGCCACTGCCCGCCTCACCTCTGTGCCTGGAGGCCTCACCCTGAAAGGAAGGGGGAGAAAGGGGGTGCAGAGCCACTCCTGGTCACACGTCCGTCTTCCGTGAAGCAATTCCTGACCACCCCGTCCACTGAGAGCTCTCTCCTCCCTGAGCTCTTGCTATCCCTTCCTTTACACACACACAGACGAGCTCGTTTTTCATTTGTCTCATTTTCCCAGACCGCCTACTACAATGTCTTACAGACACTTAAATAGTTTTCTGAAACATAACCAAATTGTGTGGCACTACCCAGTTTGGAGGTTTGGAAGTCTTTACTGACCTCCACTAGCAGACGTGGACACACGTGGACACACCTGGCTGGATGTCAGGACCACCTGGCTGGCTTATGGACAACGAAGATTCCTGGGCTTCACCCCACAGATACCGACCCGCGGGGCTAGGTTAGAGCCCAGCCCCTAGACTCCCCCAGTGCTTCTGCCCCAACCTGTCCTGGAACCAGAGCTCGGGAAGCCCAGGTGTGCGCGGCTTGGCACACGGGCCTTCCTCAGGGCCAGGACTTATCTTTCCAGCATCTCTGGCTGGGCTCCGGCCACGTATGACTTCGAGTCCTTCTTCATCACATCTAGTTCTCCGGTAGCTGCCTGGGCAGCACGCTTCGTTCCCTTTGCCTGCTGCACTCACTCACTCCGGGTTCAAGTCCTCAGCTGCCCCCCGGCCCCCAGACCCAGAGACTTGCTGCCCCCACTCAGGGCTGCAGGGACTTTACACCCATGCCTGCAGCCTTCTTCACAGCAACGTGTCCCCGTCTTGCCTTACGCGGTTTCTCGCCATGGAGATGACATGCTTCTTGAGGCCAAGGACTTTGCCCCCACCCCCATCTCAACGGCCCGGCATCCGCCCAGGGTGGAGCTGCCAACACTCGGGAAGGTTTTGAGAACAAGATAAACATTTATTTAAAATGCACCTTTCCTATCCCCTGACGAATGCACTCTCATATAGTTTTATAATATAGAATGATTTAATTGTGACTTTAAGTTTCTTGATGAAGCCCTTGGTCGGAATGATCCCAGGAGGCGCCAGTAACCTAGGTGCATTTTTCTGTCACGCGCGTTTCCCTACTATTGTCCAGAGAAGTTAAAGTCCTTGCTGGGAACAGAACAACGGAGCATGCTACGGAGAGCTACACTCAGCCTGACATTCCAAGATAAAAACAAATGCCTTGCGGCAATTCGAGCCCTTTCAGGTTTAAAATTTCCTGTCGAACTCTAGAGATGAGGGTTCTAGAGTTTGAAAGACGAGACTGGAGCCTGTTCCCGGCCTCACCAGTTTGGGGCTTTGGGAAAGGGGGTCAACCTCCCTGGCCTTCCTCTTGAGAAAAGGAAACAATAATTCCAGCTCACAGAAATACCGCCTGCATTGCACAAAGTCAGCAGGCAGAGCAAAATTACCCCAGTGTATGCCCTCCATCCCCCAAATAAACATCAACAGAAAAGAGAAAGAAACTGCCACGTCCCTTTCTGCAGCAAGCGGCGAACCTGGGGCCGCATGCATAGTTGAGACCCAGTGAGGGCTCGCGGGGAGCTGGGACTGGCCAGGGGCAGAGGAGGGGAGTCTAAGGAATGGAAGAGGAGGAGGAAGGTCTGAAAGGACGCATGGCTCCTCAGGCCTGCATGGACAAGAAGGCGTGCCTGGGGGAGCTGGGAGGAGAGAAAAGCTCAGTGAAACACTCTCCTCTCTCCTCCCGCAAGCGAGCGTTCTGGCTGGCTCCAAGCCATGCTCTTGTTTTAAATCACTGTTAATGTCCTTGATAAATTGCCCCAGTAGTAGCCTCCCTTCCCTTCAGAATCTGCTTTCTATGGCAACAGGGTCATTTTTCAGCAGCTTTTCATCTACAAAGGAAAACAGGAAACTGCTGGCCACGAGGATGAGGACTTTGAGGAGTAGACATGCAGCCTGGCTCCTCTGCCGCTAGCAAGGAGGCAGGAACCCGGCCACAGGGCGGGGCAGAGGGGCAGAGAGAGTCTTCTTTCTTTGGGGACTAGAGCGAGGACAAAGACGGCTGCCCTCCCGCTCCCTCAAACTGCATCCAGGCAGCCTGGGGACCGGTCTCTGTGTCCGTCCATGTCTAACACTGCCCTACACATTCCTCCACAGTAAAACTGGCATTCCACTTCCTCCTTTATGAAAAGTTACAAGGAGTGCAAAATTGCAGGCCAGATATTAGACACTATATCATAACTCAATAACCAGTTTTCAAAAAACCAGAATATAATAACATGCAAAAAAATAAGAAATAAGACTCTGAAGGCCCTACCTTTGTAAGGCTTCAGATGTCATCCTAACTATCCCCCCCATGGCATGAGGTCAGCGAACAACCCCGTAGTTTGGACTTGAGCTAAAAATAATTAATCTTACCAAACCGATCCACTAGATTTGCCTGGGAAGTGAACACGAAGCCGCAGGATAGAACAACAGTCATATTTCCCCCAGACTTGTTCAGCTACATCAGGTTCTACTGTACATGTAGTAATTTACAGTTAATAAAGGCACAACAGGCTTTTCAAAGGAACAGCCTGGAAAGAAGCAATCTACCTAATTTTTTAAAGTGGCCTTTATATTACAGACCTGTTACTTTATTTAATAACCCATCTCAACTCAACACTCATTCTCCGCTTGATGACCTCACACCCGTCCTTCATTCCACTTTGTGAACCACATCTCCTTCACGGCAGAGCTGAGTCTTCTCGGCCAGCAAGTGCTAAGCTGAAGAGCTCTGAAATAGCCCCTCGGTGCGGGTGCTCACGCAGGAACACCGACGTGGGACGGCCACGATAAGAAAGAACAGTCTCCAGATGAACTCCAACAACCTAAACGTGGACTTGTCCTGAACCCGTCCCTTTGAATTAGATCTGAACGGCTTAATGCGATTATTGCACGAACTAGATGCATCCGTCCTCGCTATACAGAACACACAAATACATCCCTTCGTGACAGATGCCTGGTTTTGCTTGGACTGTCACTAACCACAATGGTTTTAATAGATAATTAGATCTCCTATTTAATTATAGTTTTAAAAACGTACGTACAAACAAACTCTTCTAAAACTAAAGCCGTAACGTCACCATTTGGCAAGACGCCGGTGGCCCTAACATGGGTGGGGAAGGAGAAACGAGAGGCTGCAAAGAAGCACCATTGGCATCGGCCTGGACTCTCCAGCCTGTGGGGCCATGGGCTGAGCTTTGGGACTGTGAGAGGGGAGGCCGGGCACCGATGGCAGGGAGTTGGCTGCCGCGAGCACGCGTGGTGCCGTGTGTTTCGGACACACGGCAGACCAGCCTCCACACAGAGCATACTTGGGAGAAGGCTGCCACAGGAGGCCACAGACTTCCCTTCCGTGTGGTTTCCTGCCCAGTAGACGACGTGTGTGCCAGTGAGTGTGCGAGTGCCCCACACCAGCAGCCCACAGCCCCTGTATCTACCCACCTCAGCTGTCCCACTGACGGTCCCTGTCGCAGACCGACTGCCGGTGCACCCACGAAACTCATATGCTGAGGCCTTAACCCCCAAGGTGATGGCATTAGAAGGTGGGGTCCCTGGGAGGCTGACCTGGGTTTGGGATGGGGTCACGAGGGTGGCACCCCCATGATGGATTAGTGTCCTTCTGGGAAGAGAAAGAGACCACAGCCTGCTCTCTCTGCCAAGTGAGGACGCAGTGAGAAGGCGGCCGTCTGAAAACCAGGAGGGAGCCCTCACCAGGAACCAGATCTGCTGGCAGCCTGATTTTGGACTTCCAGCCCCCAGAACCACGAGAAATAAACGTCTGTTGTTTAAGCTGCCCAGTCTATGGTTTTCTGTTACAGCAGCCTGAACAGACAACAACAGTCCTCCCTCAAACAAAACCTAACATCCGAACACCGCTTTAAAACCCAGGCTGAATCCTGAGCCTGCACTGAGCACTCACGCCCCCAAAATGCACGAGTTACTGCCTTCTGACATCATTGCACTCGATGGGCTAACACTTCCATAAATACAGTTACTTCTCTGTTTCACAGGAGTAACCTCTGAGCTCTTTAGGAAATGGCTGGTCCATTTTTCTCATCCCAAATCTAAACCTCAAAGCTAAATGAGGCCACCTTAAGCGGAAGGCCGTACTCACGTCCAGAGACTCCAGGCAGTACCAGCAGAAGGCGTGCTTGCAGTTCTTGCACATCATCTGCGCGCACCCCTCATCCCGCTCGATGTACACCTTGCACTTGGGGCACCGCTTGATGGGCGCGTCGTCCTCTTCCATTTTGAAAGCAGAACTGTGGGAGAAACGTCGTGAGGCTCTGGGCAGGGGCCTCCCGAGAGAGACCCAGCAGCACTGGCTGTGCTGGAAGCATTAGCTCAACTATAGAGACTGTTATAAAATCCAAGAAACCAAAGAAACGGAAACTTCAGAAAATAAATAAATAACCAAAACACTGCGAATCAGCCGGTTTGAGTTGGGGGGTCGGCGGGGAGGAGACCAACCTCAACACATACCTAAATTTAGACAAGTATAGACTAAATAAAATATGGCAAAAGGCTTATCACAAGGGCAGTATCTGAGTGATGACGTAACAGTCAAACAATAGATCATTATTCATATATATGTCTGTTTTCTGAAGGGTCGATAATAAATTGTATGCACTTTGCTATTATCAGAAAAAAATAAACACACATTATTTCCTTAGATAGATCTCCCTGGCTCGTCTTATAAAACTGGTTTCCTGAGGAGTCTGCTTAGGTCTGCAGTGGTCAGCAGCAAGGGCTTTAAGCCACGGTCAAGCGTAGGCTCTTCCACAAAACAGCTGCGCATCAACTCCCTGAGCCCCCGCTTTCTCGCCAGTGTGAGCGCAAGAGAAGATTCTGTACGGCAACAGTACAGTGTAGAGTCCAGCTTGTGTGAAGTGCCTGATAAAGGGTAGCGATTATTCAATGCTGCTAATACAAAGATAAGAGATATTTAGGTAAGACTACAAAAGGATGTCCGTCCCATGCGATTAATTTTAAAAAGACTACTTAAGAATATTCACGAAAGCATCTGGAAGAACAAATGATAAACTGTTAAGAGGCGTTATCACTGATTATGTGGGTGCATTCGCTATATTGTCTGAACCGGCTGCGTCGATCCAACACCACCAGGAGTAAAATGACTTCCCTTTGGGGCAAGCAGCCTTTTTGGAATTTAATACATTTATGAGTATACATTCACCAAAGTTGAGCAAATTCTGGCATTTTGCATGCATTCTGGCTGAAGGACCTCACATAAGCGTCACAGTCAATATAAAAATTAAATGCAGTTTCGCTTTAGTATGAATTTTCTGACAATTAGAAGCGAGCCTTCCTCCAGTTGAGGTGCATGCTCTGGCTGAGTGTGACTCTGTGCTGTCCACGAGCAGAAGGCGACAGGATAAGCACTAGCGAGGGAAGCAGTAACCCTCAGAGATAAGAGCACAGAGTCTTGAGGCAGAGGGACAAATCCTAGCTGTGCTACTTGTGTGTCATCTGTCCTAGTCTCTCATCTGCACAACAGACTGAGGGGGCTGCCAGCGTGGATCTCTGCAGGGTGTTGTGGGGATTAAAGAGTCTGCACGTGTTAAGTACAAACGCACAGGAGCCTGCACGGCAAGTATCAAACACCCAACAAAGAGCAGTTGTTATTCATATCATTACCCAAAGATGACAAAACTGTCTCCAGCTCAAATTCGTCTCCAACTGAAAAGCAAACTACAGACCAAGCTGGCCACACAGAATGTGATTTAGAATAAACTGAGGGTACTACAACGAGCAAATGAGATAGCCTGTGTGCAAACACCTCCAGAGGGACCCAGCACAGAGTTGGCTCTGAGGAAACCTTAACCCAGTTTCTTCTGAGACCGATTTTGATTCTGCAAAGAGCTACAAGTCATGAGGCACGAAATCCGGTGGTCAAGTTGGTTACCGGGTTGGAGAACATTGTTTTGGTTTGAAAGCCAGGTGTGGGCTTTAAGTTAAGAAACCAATTTTCTCATGTGACTCACAAGCTAATTTTGAAAGAAATGCTGTGAACAGTGTACACAGTGTCTCTTGGGGAGACTTTTCAAAACGGAAACAGTTTCAAGTTTTGGTGCACCGTGTCATGCATAAAAATGTGCACGGTACAGATGATGGCTTTCAAACATTTCTCGGTATCTGAATTACATTTAAAATTATTATTAATAACAACTCGTACTAGAAACTCAAATTTATTAAGGCAGACAGGAGTCTCCGACAGTCTAATCGCAATCGACATGGCCCGGATGCCTTTGAGGGGCAGGCAGGCAATGCTAATGAGCGAAGCTGGTCCGGTGGATAAAAACATGGCAAAGGGGAAGATTTAACCTTACAAAAAACCTCTACTACATGAAAAATAGCTGAGTGTCTTCTCAGTTACAAATGCCAGCTGACGGATGCTGCAGTTCCAGGGTGACGAGAGGGGGTGGTGAGGATGGTGGAGTTTGCGCCCCCATCCCATCCACGGAGGAGCCACAGCTCAGCCCCAGCTCAGGGTCAGCGCGTGGGAAGGTGGGCTCAGAGAGCCTGGATACTCAGACTTCCCAGAGAAGCCAGAAATTCCTATTTGTAAACTTCCACGAAATGAGATTTGTGAACTTTGATTGAACTCACCCTTGTGGCATGATTTAAATGAGACCAGAATGTCATGGATGAAGAAAAGCTAAGTCACCAGGCCCCAAACACTCACCACCCTCCATCTTAAGTTTCCAGGTGCAGAAGGCTCTAAGTACAAGGAGGGGATTCATGCTAGTGTCTGCCTGGCGTGGGCCAGGACACAGTCCAGACACACGCAGGCCCCCACGTCAGGAGCGTAGCCTGATGGCACCGCACCAACTGATGAACTCCACTGGCCAGGGTTGTAATCAATGCACGAGCTCAGCTGGAACAGAGGGGCAACCACCGACCTTGCCCTGGAACCCAAACGTTACAAAGGGGATGTGAGCCCGTCCGCAAGGGAGACAAGAAGTCTCTGAGAAAGGGGAGGGCAGAGTAGGCGGTTCCAGGCACAGGAACAATTGTGCATGGGGAGGAGACAGGGGCCCTGAGAGGCTCTGGGGCTGGAACACGGCATGGGATGGGGGCCGTTGCAACAGAAGAGAGGAAAATGGGGCCACTTGTGACAACACCCTTGGGTAGAGGCGGGTGCCATGGCACCCCTCTATTGGGAATGCAGCCCCCATAGGAACAGGGCAACTGCCTAGTGGAGCCACGTGACCTGCAGATTTTGTAGGATACAAAGGCCTGGATATTATCCGTTTCGTATGGTTCAACCTACTAAACCGTACAGTACACAGAGCAGTGCTGCAGCGTCCCCCTGGGCGAGAGGCCTGGCCATCTGGCCGTGGGGGCAGGAGGCAGAAACGCAGGAGTGTCTTCACATCTCCCTCCCGACAGCCTTGACATTTTAGAGAGACATAGCCACCTTGGCCTCGGGCAGCTGCAAACCTTTTTGGGGGATCCTTCTGGTAATTACGGCCTGTGCCCCCTACTCTTGTGCCTGTTCCTGCACCCCCACTTTGGACCATCTTCACCACGGTGGAGTCTCAGAAAAACTTCAGGTATCGCAGGACTCAAAACCCTGAACGGTGATCGGCCGTGGGTGCGCGTGTTGTCCCAGGCAGGCAGCGTCGAGCTCGGTTCTCATGCAACTTTCTATTTCCAGGGCCTTGCACAGGGCCTGGCACATAGTCGGTTTTCAAAAACAAACACACAAACAAATAACCACAGGCTTCAAAGGGACTCGAGGGGCAGCGTGTGTTGGGGCTGCCCCAGGCGCAGCCACATCCACCCCAGTGGCGCTCTCAGGAAGGAAGCGCCCCTCCTTCTCCCAGCCCGCAGCCCACGCCTCGGCAGCAGCTCGTGCAGAGGGTACCTGGTCTCCCCGGGGAGGAAGGTGACGGGCATGGTCTCTGGGCAGCCCTGGCCAGGGTGCCAGCTGGCTTTGCAGGTGGAGCAGAATTCCATGTGGCAGGCTTTGCACTGCACCGGCTGGGGGGTCTGCTGCCCCACGTCCTGGAGCTGACACACGGCCTGGCAGGTGGACACTGGGCACCACGTCCGACAGGGATCGAACAGCACCTCTGCCACAGGGAGACAAAAGGGAAAATCAAACTTGGGGGGCCAGAGGGTCTCGGGGGGGCCAGAGGGTCTCGGAGGTTCCAGGGGTGGGTGGGGGTAGGGTGAGTGCCTGCTCCCTCACCTCTGCTCCAGCCCCCCCCAGCTTCTCACCCCACACACAGGGGGCACAACAGACCTCCAGACAGCCCTGGTGTCCCTCCGGGATGCTGCTCCTGACCCTAGAGCACGCTTGGCTCCCTGGGACACCCCTGTTTGCCCCTGAGGCCCAGCTTGCAGCTCAGAGGCCTCTATACTCAGGAAAGCTTGGCCTGCCCGCCCGTCTGCGGTTTCTCTGAGCCCGCACAGACCACCACGAACCACGTTTCCTCCTCTGCCTCCCCCAGCGGACAGCTTCCTGCAGTGAGGCGGGTGCCTGCATCCCTACTCCGCACACCTGGCCCTGTGCTCAGCACACAGTCAGCACTCAGAAAGGAGAGAAAGAAGGCGCTTGAATTATTCTTCCAACCAAAGGGTTCATCTGCCTAAGCTTGTCTCCTTTCCCTAGTTTAATACATTAACTGCCATGCGAGTGGTATTCAGCCCACGCTAGTTTTGATCCCAGGGCCTCCTGAAGCAAAACCCTGCAGTTGGCTCATGAAAATCTTACTTGTTGATGTTCTCATTGTTACAATTAATATTGACAGTTTACATGGATTTTGTTGCATATAACTCATGCACAGAAGACAATAAAAAATAACAAATTAGAAAGGATCGTTTCGTTTTAATAAAACACCATGGCCCCAGGGAAAACTTTTTTCCCCTAGTGTGGCAGTCAGTGTGTTAAGTCTGAGCCGCGAGCTAATTACTACAGGAAACTCACCCTTCAAGGGCCAAGTTGCCCTCTAAATTGGAGCGCGAGACCCTAAGAAGCCCAATTTAATGGAATTAGGAAGTTTATTTTTAAAAACAGGATAGCATGACACGCCTATAGCTTCACATCCTTGTCCAGAAAGTGCATTTATTCAAATAGCCGGTACTGAGCGGCCCTTTGCTGTGAACCTGGCTATTCATTTCATTTTCAGTTTTGGCGACGCTGACTCCCCAAGGAGGGCATGGTGGGGAGGAGCCACGCGGAGCACTAAGGCTGTGCCAGAAAGCGACGGAGGCCACGGAGTCGGGCTGTTCCCAAAGGCCTTCGAGTGGGTCGCCGGCTCGTGAGCTTTTCAGCGGAGCCCTTCTTGGGAAGTCATCAGGACAAATGAACTTTCCTGGGAAAACTTGGGAGGCACCGAAACTCCCTTGCAAACTTCCTGGCCGTGCAGCCGGCAGGCTCAGCTCACCTGCATCACAAACGGGGTGCTGAGAACTGGGGCTCCGGGACGCGCTGGGGCTGTCCGTGGGCCACATCTCACCCACACACCCTGCCACAGGACAGCGGCAATTCAGTTACTCAGTCCCAGCCGGGGTGTCCTGACCATGCACACGCACACATACGTGTATGGCCCGTGCGTGTTTTACCACGGCCCCCAAATCGACGGGGACGCACAGTCAGCCCTCTAGGGAAAAGCTCGTGTCGGGTATCACCTTGAAAATCATCTAACCAAGGGTTGGTAAACTTTCTCTGTCAAGGGCCAGATAGTAATTATGTAAGTCTTTGAAGGCCGCGCAGTTTCTGGGTTTCGGTCTCAACTACTCAGCTTTGACGCCGTCGTGCAAAAGCAGGCACAGTGATCTGAAATGAACGTTCAGTAAAACTTAAATCACGGCAGCAGACCACGGGCTGCTAGATTGGCCCCCTGGCTGTGGTTGGCCGACTCCCGATCTCACCTAAGTAACCTCTGCCTTTTTCTTAAAAGGTGAATTAATCAATAGCACAAAGCTATCAAATTATTAGTTCTGGCAGAAGATTAAGAAGAACTTGATAAGAGAAAGGACTCTGGAGCTCAGGACACGTGTCCCTCTTTAACTGATCTTTGTCATGTTAACATAAAATCCCGAGGATGCCTAATACTGAGAGAAGGAATAAAGTAGCTCTTGTCTTATTCATTGACAGTTTCAGCGTTTGCTTTTCTAAGAAAGCTCCCAGCTGTCAGATCTGATGAGGTGGCTTTTGGGAAAACATAGTCGTGGTCTGTGGGGCACATGTGTGGGGGTAGATGCCTATGTCTCACCTGAGCTGAGGGGACACAGCAGAGCAGGGAGGGGGTGGCCCCGCTGCTCAGGTGGTCTGAGTCACCTCCCACACCCTCCCTGACTCATGCCCTGTGAATTCAGCCAACAGCTAGGCCTGCTACCTGTGCATGCTGTAGGGTGAGCCCGGCTTTGCCCCAGACGAGATAAGAGGTCCCGCACCCGCACGGCACCTGTCGCAAGCTCTGCAGGTGCAAGGTGCTAAACAACACATGATGCAGGCAGGGAAACCCTCAGCCTGTCTTCGCTTTCTTCCCAGCCTGGCACTGCGGTGAGGGCCGGATGGACTGTGGTCCCACTGCTCTCCCCGACCCTCCCCCGGCTCTGAGGACGCAGCGGACTGCCCGAAGCCCCGTCTCTTCATTGACGTGCCTGGCAGGTGCCGCCTCCCATCCATCTTCCTGGCACAAGAGGGGGAAAAGCCGTGACACATCCTCATCGTGAAGGGCCCATTATAGCATGGAGTGGAGAGCAGGGCAGACCCAGCTACGGTTTCCATGGGAACGACTTAAATTTGATGACTTTTGTCCTCACGGAGCTGTGACAGGGCACTGCCTGTACCAGGTGGAGAGATTCCCTATCGGAAAGGCAAAGGGCAAACACCTGTTCAATTTGCTGACCGCAAACATCTCCCCGTGCTGCCAGGCACCTCACACCTGTGAACACAGCCCTGGGGCTCGGGCACAGACTTCTACCGACATTCTACGTCTCCCTCTCCACGGCTGAACTCCGGCTGCGCGTGAGATGAAACCCAGTCGAAGAGAACATCCCCCGAGAGCAACGCTAGGAAGCTTTTCTTTTCAAAATCCGTATCTATCTCTCTATCACATATATGGCTAATAACATACATTATATATTCTATCCTGTATGGTACGTTGTATCTACAACATTGTACATGTGTATGTATATGTGTGTAAGACATATTTTCAGACAAAGCAAACAACACACTTTCTGGCACACCAGAAGAAACTAATCTCCAATCTCTCCAATCTCCCAAAGACATATTCATAATAGGTTAATTTCAGCCCTCTATTGAAAAAAGTCCAAGACTCTTTACAAAGGTGGTTTTCCTTTTTAAAAAGCAGATGCCTACTTCCTGAAGCACCAGGTAAACGACGCCCTGCGTGCTCACTCTTGCTGCACTGCCGGGCCTGGCGGGTGCCCTGGTACAAGACCGGGGTGGTGGCTTTGGTCCTGTTGTGAGACGGCCTCATTTTCGGGAGTTCTTATCTCTGGTTAGGCCTGATTACTGGTGGGTAAAACCAGCATATTCTTTCATCTCTCTGAGCTTTACTTTCTCTTAAAATGCAAAACGAAACAAGACCAGACTCCACTTCAGCCTTCATGCAAGCAGGCACTCTGCTGGGGCGGAAGACAAGACAGAGCCCACGTGCCCGTCTCTGGGATGGTGGAGCTTCCGGACAGACCCGCACAGACGCGAACATGCGCATCTCGGCACGGCTGGTGCGCAGCGTGGGCGTGGACAGTGCAGTGGAGGAGGCAGGGAGAGTGATCCACGCTGCCACTCTCCAAAGCCCGTCCCCGCCCCGGGCCCTGGATGGACCAGGCAGAGTAGGTGGCCTGAAAGGAAAACAGCTCCTCAGCCCCCTTTCCTGGCTTCCTGCTTGCCAAAGCCCCAGCCACAGAAGGGGAGAAGTTTACATTAAAATCAAGGCTGTTGTATCACAGGAGACATTCTAAGACTAAGTGGAGACAGTGTATGCAACTTAAACTAACCACAGGACTTTTTGGTAACTAAATGTTTGCAGAAAATCACTGAACTGTCTGAGTTTTCTTCCTGGGCATCCTTCACTGGCTGGATGTTAGAGGCACAGAGCAAGTCAAAATTTGCTTTTTGATCCCGTCTCCAAGCTCGTGCAAGGTGCTGGCTATAATCCACAGCTCTATTTTAGCTCTGACGTTCCAGCATTTCATCTAGACAGGTCTTAGTTGTATTAAGTCTGAATTCTTTTTTGTAAAAAAAAAAAAAAAAATTAACATGTAAAATGTTTTAAAGTGATAGGTTTGAGAGGTATTTTTTTTAAACCTAAGTAGGCTTCATGTTTATGCAAAAGGGAAAAAAAGCTTTTTGACTAAACCGAAGTACAAAAGAAATAAAAGTTAAAATTATTAGGCAGAAAAACTTAGCCAGTTGCATTTTTAAATTAAATTCAATGTCATACAAAGTTCATATTCTTATAATCCAAAAAACTGCCAGTTTTAGTCAAGATTCTCTCTGGAAAATATTTTTGAAAGAGCCTGAAAGTCTCAGCAACCCAATCAATCAATTTTATAGCTCTACATGCTGACTTTTGCACCAAGTAGCATTGTATTACAGCCATAAACTGCCCCAAAGCAAACGATATATGCCACTGAAATAAAGGAGCTCTTGAAAACAAACTTCAATGCCACCAAAAATGCTATTCAATGTTTTTTTTTTTTTTTAAGTTGGCTCCTATTATTTATTTATTTTTTTTTAGAGACAGGGTCTCACTGTGTTGCCCAGGCTGGACTCCACCTCCTGCGCTCAAGTGATCCTCCTGCCTCAGCCTCCGGAGAAGCTGGGACTACAGGGGCGCACCACCATGCCCGGCTATTGTTAATATTTCTCTAAAATATTAAAAACAAACCACTCTGACACTGAGCTAAACCGGGGTCTCTGGATACTTTCCTCTGGTCTGTTCTGCCTTCCAGCGCCATCCTGACAGGTTCTCATGCAAACATGCCCCCCAGGTTGCATCCCAGGGGTGAATCATCCCTGGTGCTGGCAGGGACCTGAGCACCAGTCTAGGAAGGGGTAGAGCAGGTGTCAGCGATCACAGACTAAGCTGAGAACTTGAGAGCCGGCACTCGGCGTCCTCACGGTGACGTCCTGCACGAGAAGCAGCGCCTGCACACACCTGTCCATTGGCTCTTCTGCAGAGGGGCCCGCGGCCCAGAGCATGTATGAAAGCGAGGCCAGAGAGAGTTCACAGGCTCTTTACAACATCATTGTGCGATCCTACACTGCTTCAGAGAGCAAAGACAGAGACCTCTCTTGGACGTTCAACACGTTTTAACACTTTGCAACACAATGACGGTAACACTGCTCTGTCCACCCTCACCAGCTGGGTCACGCCACACCGTTCTCCCCAGGGACCCCCGTGTCTGCATCAGGCCTGGCTCCGGCAAGGAGGGCTGTGCAGGACTCAGCAGGAGGGGTCACAGCTAAGGGTCAGGGCCTCTGGTCCCCAATCACCCATGGGAGTTAGAATCAGGGCAAGTCCGTTAGCCTCTCTGGGTATCAGTTTAACAGATAACGAGAAACTAGCCTCCCAGGATTGCTGTGGTACTTACTGGATGAGAGGCCCAATTATTCATTCAGCGCCTACTATCTAGGCCTGCACCACGTGGGGAGTCGGTGCAGACTGAACCCAACACTCACTGCTAGCAGGACGGCCGTCACTGCAGTTGCTACTACTCTTGTCCTCGGACTTCCTCCCACGCCTTCGTATCCTGCACATCCAGGGCCAGTCTAAGAGTTTAGCCTTCAAACTGCCAGGCCTTAACCCGGCTGAAGAATAATGCTGCGAGAGTCATCATCTTTAAGCCACCCCCAGAGGCCTCAATCCTCTAAACCAGTGCATTTCATGCATTCTTCCTGCTACCAAACAGACCACTAGCCAAGGTCTTCCAACTGTGAGCTAGCTGTTCAGAGAATTCAAAGTGTCAGCTGAATTCCAGAAGTTCAATTCGTATCAACTGTTTCACTCCTACTGCAGCCTTTTCACTCCTATCAAATGACAGATAATCACATCTACCAAAAGAACTCCCCCCAAAGTTATCCACCTTCTGTTACAGGAATCACAACACCAGGTCACCTACCTCTTTCAAACTGTAGCTTTTTATATCTTTGCATAATTTCAGCCGCAACCATGCACTCAATCTAAGAGAAAAAATACAAACAAGAGTTATAACATGCTGAAAGCCGGAATATAATGCAACATAAACCTAAACAGAACCCACACCGCCCTGAGAAGCTAAGCAGGGTGCACTAGCATCCATCGGACAGACCCGACTGTTCATTGCACGTGCCTCGTTCTCCTGCAGGTGGCCCTGTTTAGGGCAGGCAGCATCAGGGCAGCTAATTGCAGTCTCTAATCCTTCTTTGATCAAGAGCTCAACGTATTGTTTCAGGCACTGAAAGAAAAACAGAGACATGTCTGTAAACATCTTTCTGTCCTTAATGCCACAGAAATAGTAATGCATGAAAAAAATGGCCAAGCACAGTGTTCCATCACAGTTTTGTATTTTCACTGTGCAGCCCACAGCAACACCCCGATTCGAGGTTTAGAGCTTTTATTCATTCAACAGATATTTAAGGGGTACCTATTCTGTGCCAGGGACTGTATGCTGGTTTGCAAAGTTAAGGCTGCGGGTTAGATGCCTGCGCACACCCTCAGCACACACAAAGCCAATAACTGTAACAGCAAGAAGAAAGGCAGCAAAGGAGGCTGGGAAGTAATATTTCTCAAATGCATATGAGATGTCAGGCACCATACTAAACTCTTTATCTTCCATTGTCTCATTTAATCCTTGGGACATTTTTAAAAGAAAGGTATGACTGTTCCATCTTTCAGATGTGAAAACTGAGTCACCAAAGAAGGAACTTGCTAGCTCACCCAGATAGTAAGGGCAGAGCCTGGATTCGAACCCAAGCTTGCTCAGCTGAAATGCCCATGCTCTGCTCTGCCAATGTACACTTGGCACTCCTCATTGGTGACTTACCTGCCAATTACTGACCGCCAGCCTTACCTACTTGGGAGTACTGCTTGAAATCTGAAGTGAGTCAAAAAAGATCAAGTGGGGGATACAAAATACAGTGAACGCACAAGATTCCGCGTCCTTTATCGGTACCGATTTACTCTTGCTTTACAGAGTCTGCTAGTTTTGGAAATCTAGTGTTTCCTTGAAAAGCACATTAAAAATAGCAATGGGAACACAAGATATGGCTTTCCCCACATAGGCTCATTACCAAAAGAGACTAGAGTCAAACTTTGAAGTGCTTATGCAAGAACTCAAAGAACATGGGAAAATGAGGCCATTCGTGCAGGGAAAACAATGTAAAACATCTCAACGGCATCCCCAAATCAACGTTAAATCATAGTCCTAAATCCAAAGTTCGTAATAGCAACATTACTATAATAATACTAAAATATTATAATGAGAATTCATTAAGAAAAGCCCATAAGCTTTTGTGAAGCTCCTACCTTCTCAAAAAAAGCATTATTATAAGAACGTACAGTTATTATTATTGAGTGGGCCTAAACTGAAATCCAACTGCAATTCCTACTACTTCTATGTTTAGAACAAGTCTATTTCTCTCTCTGACTGCCATCCTCATTCTCCTGATCTTCAATTTTGGGTAGTTTAATTTACCGTGCAGTACAGTAGTAAGAATTTTATGCAAGGAAAAGAGTCTAGGAGGACACATGAAAAAGAGTATGTGCTTGATACATAAAGACTAATTTAATCTAAATGGGTAATTCTCCCTATTCGAGCAAACCAGAATATTTCATTTATTAAACACTAGATAGCAATCTTTTTTTAGAAAATAGAAATCAAGGCCATCCTCAGAAAGAGTCGTTTCCCAAAGCTTTTCTCAAAAGCTGTAACTTCATGTACACACCGTACAGCTGGTGGCTCTCAGCTGAGGGTCCCGGGTGTCAGCCTGGGTTCCCGTGGGGCCCTGACAATGATAGTGGCCCTGAATTTAGATCATGCACAAACACACCTACATTTTGCCAATCCCAGGTTTATAGAGAGAGTTTCCAGAGCAGTGAGCACGGATGAGCCCAGTCTTGGAGTTTCATTTGAGGCACAAAACGGTAGTTTACAGAGATAAATGCATTAAAACCAATGCAAAGGCCTTCCCTAGAACACGGAGGGGAAAGCCAGAGAGAGGCAGATGGTGAGGAAAAGAGAGGAGTCACAGCCCGGCCCAGGCAGCCTTAGCTGACCTGCTACCAGGAAACGCCCCTGTGGCTTAGTGGCATGGTGCAGTGCTGCACCCGTGGGCTGTTTTCAGCTGGCACGTGAGTGGAAGGTCCTATTCATGGCCGAGTGCAACATGATGAGGGAGAAAACCTTGGCTTTGGAGCCAGGTGGACTCAAGCAACCCTTGTCCCTCTAGTCAGAGGCCATGAACTAGTTACTTGATAAGTTTGAACCATGGCTCCCTCCGTAAGAAAGTAGGGATGGCCGTCTTGCTAGGCTTTTGTGACAGAAAGGAATAAAGTAGATAAAAGCACCTGGCACAACACCTGGTGTACAGCACCAGGTAAGGAAACAGTGGCTGTTGTTCTCTCCCATTTGTCTATCTGAGTGATGTTTCTTACAGTAAATTATACACATTAAAAAAAAAAAAAAACCCAAAACCTTAGCAACAAGATCATTATTTTACTTTCTATAATCAAGTTTGTCTAAATAGAGTCTCTGGAGGATACTTAAATGTCTTAAACCTGTGGTCCCCAACCCCAGGGCCACGGACCGGTACCAGTCTGTGACTTGTTAGCGACCGGGCCGTAGAGCTCCACTGCACCCCTCAACTCCCGTCCGTGGAAAAATTATCTCCCATCAAACTGGCCCCTGGTGCCAAAAAGGTTAGGGACCACTGCCCTAAACCAATACAATGCTGAAAACTTTCACGATATTGTGCAGAGCAGCATATAATGATAGAACATTATTCTTTCTAAGTGGCAAAATACAACTGGTGTGAAACATACACCCTGGGGAAGTCTTTAAACATCATTTTCCAAGAGCTTGCACATGGCAACAAGTAGTGAGTCGTGTCTGGCTGAAAGCTACCCACGAGTGAACATTCTATGTCATCAGAATGCATCTATTTGTGCAATTCGCAAAACGATTATGTTCTGAGAACATCAATTTGTCCACTCTATAAAGAGAGATGAGGATCCGAGGGCCTGACCCCGCATCCATCAAAAACAAGCCCAGTCTTCTTCCAATTATAAAGTGGGCCATGACTCGCAAGCTATGCTCTTTAATCTAATAGCAGCAAAAAGATGTCTTGAAATGAGCAAAAAAAAAAAAAAAAAAAAAAGACAAAAGGTAAAAAACGACCGTAAAAATATACGGTCTAAAAGCAGATACTGATACATTTTTCTACTATCATATTAAGTGCAGATATCAGTAATCAAATGCCTTCTAAGTACCAGACGCTGCGTTCATCACTTTACCTATGTCAGCGCAATAAACACGCACAAGAATAGTATGAAGTTTTATAGAGGAGAAAGCCAAGGTTCAGGGAAGTTCAGAACCGGCCCAAAGTCGTAATGTTCAAGCAGAGGCACCAGGACTCAACCCCATGTGTGCCTGATTCCAACGTGGGTGAGGGTTTTTTTAATTTGTTTTTTAAGTTTTTTACTTACTTTCTCCTCAATTAAGAAATCTTTCGAATGAACATGTTTGGAAAACTAATGTATAATGTGAGGACTGAAGTTAACACAACTGCATTGTATCAGGGATTTCTGTCAAATAAGTAGATTTGAGCTGCTCCTGTTACCAAAACAAAGTAACTACGTGAGATGATAGATATATTAATCTACTTCACTATAGCAACCATTTTACTATCTGTATGTATCCCTAACATCACGTTGTAACCCTCAACTATACGTAATAAAATTTATTTTACAAAACTCGTTCATAAGCAATTATGTACTAAGTATTTTCTGCTACCTCATAAAGTTATTTGTAGAACAAAGAATTGTATGCACTTTAAGCTGGCAAAGTCTGAATCACCCCAGAGCCAATCTCCTCTACCTGTTCAAGATGCTGCAAATGCAAAGATGACCCCAGACATCAAGATCCTCCCGCACAGCCCGATGTGGGGAAAAGGTGGTCCGCACATCACTATGACAACACCCGGTGCTCAGTGCTCGAATGGGGCCCCTGTGTTGGGGGGGTGAGGCTCTAACCTGCCACCATGGGGCAGAGAGGAGGGTCCCACTGGAGTGCGGTCAGGGAGGGCAGCCCGGAGGTAAAAAGCCAGCCAGAGGGACAAAGGCATTCCAGGAAAACAGGCATCAGCCGTCCAACAGGAAGAGGGGGGCACGAGCCACAGAATGTTCCAGGCATTTCATTTTCCACGTTGGCTTCCAACCCTTTGAAACCTGATGAGGAGACGGCACTGCTGATTTGCTAACATCCCTCCAGTGCGTCAGAAGTTTCTCGCCAAGGAGCAACAGGCCACAGAGACGTATCTGCCTGGCCCAAAACTACAGCAAATCTGAATTTTGTCTGTTTTTTTCACACGAAGGCCTGTTGGCTACCGATGACCCTAAGAGCAGGAGACAATGCCCAGAAACTGCACTCAAAGGTGCTTATCGGGGACCCACAATTCACAAACCCACGCAGGCAGGTCCGAACTAAAGCAGCAGCACCCCACGAACGGTGTGCAAGGAGCAAGGACCCTGGAACTGCAGGGCTGGGCTTGAATCTCGGTTCACCCACTTACCAGCCATGTGGCTTGAACAAGGGCCGTCGCCTCTCAGAGCCTGGTCCTAATACTGTGGGATAAGCTTGGCAACCGAAAAACAATCACACCACAGCTCCAGTGCCCCAGAGGCAGTCGTGCTCCAGAACATTCCTGACAGACACCCGAGTGTGTCTCTCAGCCTTTCTAGAGCCATCAACAGTCGATCATCTGTTCATGTTTCTCCTCTACTTGACGGCAAGTTCTTTGAAAGCAAGACTGTTTGTTTATCCTTCTATTCCCAGTCCCTAAGGCGTGCTGGTAATTACCGAGAGATGAATCCATGCTACATAAATAGACAGATGGCGGACGGATGGACGTGTAGCTGAGCGGAACATCCACGGAATCACCGGACACCTGGTGGCGCCTCCCCTCCCGCCTCAGCAGAAGATCTGGGCCCTGAGACAGGCGTGCCGTCCGCGCCGCTGCTGCAGGGCAGGTGGGCTGGCGACCCTGGTCCTCTGCACAGGACGGAAGGCTGAGCCATTGCCTGCAGTACCGTCGTCAGGAGGCCGAGGCAGGACCTCAGCACAACCTCACAACCTCAGGAGGACAGCGTCCCAGGAGGCCCCCAGCAACTCTCACCGGGTGGCCTTGGGAACCCGGAGCAAACCTCCCTGCCCGCGGGACTCCACTGCCCACTTAGAGG